GCACCATAAAAGGATGTAACACTTCTTTGCATCATTAAACAAATGTTCCACACCATAAACAACTAATCTTCAACACGACACATGCTTTGGGTGTGGGCAGTATAAGTTAGAGACAGCTATGGAAGGAAAATTGTTCAGGGGAAATTATTAGTGAAGGGTTTGGGGAGGAAGTAGAATTTGAAGCCATCTTTTAAAAAATAGTATTCTAATGATTTATTATTTACAGAAATACCAAATAAGACATTTACAGACTATTATTGGTAAGGTTTCACTTCTTCCATGATTTGAAACATTTCAAAATGCATTGTTAGTTTCATCTCACAAAAGTAGAAAGTAGCAGAAGTACATATTTAAGGAAATGTTTAGATCAATGATTCCAGCATTGTTCCAAGTAAATATATAAATTCACTGGTTTAATTTCTGACACTTTTACTCCAGTGTAGAGATGGTTCTAATGAAGTGTTATGTAGTCAAAATAAATATTAACACTTTTTAAAATATTTAAAGTAAATATTATTACTAAATAATGAGTAAAATTTCTCAACAGCATAACAGATGGATTTCAAGTCATTTTCTTTTATTAATTTTCAGATGTTATAAACAAACTGTATAACAACCATTATGAACTATCTCAGTTTAAAGTCTGTTCATGCAGAGGTTGAAATTTTTTCACCTTGTTTTAATTTTGCGTAATATTTCCATCCTCACAGTTTTGTCCTTTGCATAATGAAAGACAATGATGACAGTGAAAATTGGATTAAGTTAAATGAAATATGAGATGTTATGTTAAACTTTATTTCACATGAACTGTTTCAATACTATTCTCTTAGAATAAATCTTCCTTACATTTTTGTTTTATTTTACATATCGATCCCAGTTCCCTCTCTCCTCCTCCCATGCACCCCCATCCCCCCTTGAAGTCATCTTGAAGGGTAAATATGCTTGTAGATTGGTGAGACATGGAGCAGAGAGCTGCAAGAAATATAAGGATATGGGGACAATGTGGAGATGATTGTATAAGAAAGGCAGCCCTTTTAGCACACCTGGAAGATGTATTTGTGCTGAGGGGCTTAATGGGAAATACAAGGGTGAGGGTCCATGAACAGGGTCTAAAGAACAGGACTTCTCCTCTCCCGTAGGAGTTGTAAGCAGATTGATCTAGGAGAACTGAACTAACATGGCAGCACAGTCTGAGTTGGGATGTAGGAGAGATTAGGATCTGCTTAAATTCAGTGAGAGAAACTAAGTCACCCAAGACTGAGGCTATTTCGGTACCCAGTGGAAAAGTAGTGCTGGCATGGGCCTTTGCTGAGGTGTGGTCTGTGTGGTGAGTGTGTGGAGTAGGGGAGAGCAGGAGAGCGATAGAGATGGGCAGCAGTGAGAAAGAACCTCGACACAGAGCCATGGCTTGGGTCTTCTCACCATCTCTCTTCACTGGCTAGGCCTGCCCAAAAGTCGCAGCGTTCCCCTGGGCCCGGAGTCTGGCCCATTTTCATGTCCTGCTGGTCACGGCTTGACCAGGCCACTTTTCCTATCATCCCTTGAGCTGAAGAAATTATCTAAAGCTGTCATATACATGGATGTTCAGTTTAACTGAAATGTGAAGGAATTTTCCAGCCACTGTTTTTGAATTACATGGTAAATTTGTTTTTATCAAAGGATTATGAAGCTTAGACGGGTTTAGGTAAATGTTTGTTCATCAAGTTGTCATGATTCTCAAATTTTATAGAGCATTCCTTTGGGAGCTCTTTCTGTGTCTCTTAAGCATCGTAGTGGGGTCCATTAAGGGCAGATAAGAAATAGGAACCAGTAGCAGCGGCATCAACTAATTGCAGATTCGTCTCCCACTTGCTCATTTCCTTTGTCACCCTAAGGAAATGCAGCAGGTCATCAGAGGCATCTCTGTTGTTTCATTGTAATTTCATTAAATTTGATGTCATCTCAATAAGGAATCTGCCTAGCTGTGTCCTAGCATCGCTGTCCAGATTGTGGTGTGCAGTGATGTTGGAAAGGACACTGCTGGGTTGATGGTTTTCCTTATATACAACAGCTGCAGCAAGGAAATGTGTGTGTGTGTGTGTGTGTGTGTGTGTGTGTGTGTGCGTGGGCGTGTGTGTGTGTGTGCGTGGGCGTGTGTGTGTGTGTTAGTTCATTCTCACAAGGCAGTAGAATTTAGGTGTCTGTCCCTAACTCACCTCCATGGTGGGTTAGGCTCCAACCCTGTGTTTTGTCCTGTCCTTTCTAACAGGGTGACTGTGGAAGGCTGCATTGATCCTTCAAGCCCACCTTTCCCCTCTGGCCATAGGCATAAGAACACTAACCCTAGGGATATGTTGTGGCGGGAGGGCTCTGAATTCCCGTGCCATAGTCTTATTCTGAAGACCATGCATTCTGACCCCTTACTTTGGATGTTTTCACTTCCCCTTGCAGAATTACCGTCTTTCCTGGATACTCTATCCTCCTGAGTTGGTAGAAAGATGAGAACCAAACTTGTAAGGGTTGAATCTCCCACTTTTACAACGAAATTTAGGGTTAGTTCTCTGAGAGGGACAAACAGATGTCTCTCCCAACGAAGGGCCATTTATCGACCAATTACATCCAGGGCCAAGGGTGAAAACTGGCCTGAGTTAGTCCCCTGCAGTATCTCAAGGCGGTGACCAAATAGGGACAAATCCTCTACTCTCTCCCCTCGCCCCAACCCTTGGAACTTTACCATGTAGGCCCAAAGATGAAAGAACTGTAGCCCCAGCCAGCCCCTGCCAGCCACAGGCAATCAGATTATAATGTAACTGCTACTTGCTAAGCCCATCATAGCCAGAACGACCTAACTGCTCTGAAACTCCCCTTGGCGGTGCTTAAAAGGAGTATCCATGCTCCCCTCAGGGTTTTCGCCATGTTGTGCAGGTGCAAGACCCTGCATATACTATGGTAAATAAGCCCTCTCGCTGCTTACGTACGTGTCTGGTGGTCTTTTGTGGGACAGCTTGAAGACCCTAACACATGATGTGAGAAACAGCTTCATCTTCCCTCTATTTCCTGACATGTCGTTTCTTCATGTTCTCTTTCTAACTTATTTTCTGACTGTATTGCAGGCAGATCAACACAAGCCCAGTTAGAGCAGGTTCTTCGGTAAGAATTAACCAGACAGACAGACAGACACGCTGCTGTCCCTTCCCCAGTTCACTCTCACGCCTATTGCATTTGAGGCGGCGATGGAGCTGATCCCAGACAGATTCCAGGCTCCCAAGTGAATAGTGCTCTGGATGGACCCTTCTTCTAGGGTGTTGTCCGTGGAGGTTGTCAGCTATTGTGTAAAAGACCCTGGAAATTCGTAACTGGTATTGTTTTTGAATTAGGAGTCGCTAGAGTAGAAACGTAAGTATTGAATTAATCTTCTTTTTTTTCATTGAAATTAGCCATTGCTTTATGATACACTTTATTTCAAGTTTTGACATAGGCACTTTCTAGGGACTATTCCAATACTGATGTAATTGCTCAAGTACAGTTTATCGTGAAGGTGTGTTTTTCACCATACTTTGGGGGTCTCCTTGCTTGTGTCCTGAATCACACTCAGAAGTGAGCACTAACGGGGGCCTGGTAGGACTGATGCACAGTTCCAGTCCAGGCGTTGGCAAGGCAGTACATGTGATATGCTGAACGGCCATTGGTTTTTAAGGCTAGGATTTAATAATAGATTGTATCTGTTTTCTATTTGTATTTTATTTTCTCGAGACAGGGTTTCTCTGTGTAGCCCTGGCTGTTGTGGAACTAACTCTGTCAACCAGGCTGGCCTCGAACTCACAGAAATCTGCCTGCGTCTCCTTCCCATGTGTTGGGATTAAAGACCTGTGCTACCACTGCCTGCCTGGCAGATAGTATTTATTTTTATTTTACTGGTGTCTGTGTGTGTGTGTGTGAGAGAGAGAGGGGGGGGAGAGAGGGAGAGAGAGAACCTGATGCATGGTTACCTGTGTGCGGGTGCTGAAGAGGCCAGAAAGTGTTGGCTCCCCTGGAGCAGGAGTTGAGGAAAGTTGCAGGCTGCCTCATGAGGGTGCTGGAAACCAAACTGGGGTCCTCTGCAAGAGCAGTGAGCGTTCTTAACCACCGAGCCACCCTCCAGCCCCCATTGGTTGTATTAATATTAATTCTTCTTGAATAATTTTATTAGCTTATTCCTTTCCTCTGATCAGAAGTCTGCTAATGCCAGTGGGTGACCTAAAGATGTGGCTTAGCAGGCTGGGCGTTGGTGGCAAATGCCTTTAATCCCAGCACTTGGGGAGTCAGAGGCAGGCAGATCACCGTGAGTTCGAAGCCAGCCTGGTCTACAAAGTGAGTTCCAGGACAGGCTCCAAAACAATACAGAGAAATCCTGTCTCAAAAAACAAAAAACGAAGCAAAACAAAAACAAAAACCTGACCCTCCCAAATCCCCCAAACAAACAAACAAACAATAGATGTGGCTTAGATAGCTCTTTGGCAGAGGACTGATTTGTTCCCTGACCGTATTCCTGTCTGTTGATCAGTGCCCAGCTTAAATGCCACAGTTAGGGGACCAGAGAGATGACTCATTGATTAAGAGGCAGTACTATTCTTGCGGAGGACCAGAACCTGGTTCCCAGCACCCACATTAGGTGGCTAGTAACTGACTGTAACTCCAGCTCTAGGGGATCTGACACCCTTTCTTGCTCCGTGAGCACCTTCACATAGTTTAAAATAATTTTTTGAAAGACTCTCAGGAAGGAGTTATTTGAAAAAGCAAAACAATGTAAAATATACATGTTATTCTCAAGGCCCCACCTGAGTAGCAAGCATAGGAATTTTAGTGAATTTGGGGCAGATTGAATTCATCTCAGTTGTAATGTGTTTCTCATTTTGACCCTCCAGATTCAGTCTTAGAACTCAGGGCAGCTTTTTGGGTCAACAAGAACTGCATCATCAAATGCCACTTGTGTATAATAAAGCTTATGACATCATTCAGCAGTGCCATTTTCCTTTTTTCAGTTCTGTCGGGAGGACCGTTGCCACAGGGACATGAATTTGAACTGTATGAAGTTAGATTTCACTGGGGGAGAGAAAACCAGCGTGGTTCTGAACACACAGTGAATTTCAAAGCTTTTCCCATGGAGGTAAGAGCCATAGTCTTGTAAACATCTCATTACTAAAGAATTCAATAATTTACTGAAAATGCTTGTTTTGAAAGTAGGTGTGTAACTCTTGAATTTTATGTCTGTGCTAAGACAAGAGTGTCTTGTCAATGTCAGCTTGGGACAGCTAATGAGGCCACCTGCCTACTTCCTGGGCCCAGAGTACTCAGGGGGATGGGCCACAGATGAGCACTCATGCCTCCTCAGGTCATAGAGAACACACACAGACACACACATATACACGAACACACACACAGACACACACGCACAATGCACGCACACACACGTACGCACGCATGCACAGACACACACACAGACACACACAGGCACACACATGCAGACATACACAGATACACACACTCACACACACACATGCACAGATACACACAGGCACACACATACACACATGCACACACACACACAAAGGCACGCATATGCACAGACACACACGAACACACACAGACACAGACACACATGCACACACATGCACACACGCACAGACACACACGAACACACACAGACACAGACACATTCACACACACATGCATGCACACGCACATGCAGAGACACACATGCACACACACAGACACACATGCACACACAGACACACACGCTCACACACAGACACAAACATACACATAGACATACACACAGACACACATACACACAGACACACACACATGCACACAGACACACGCACACGTGCTCACATGCACATGCACAGGCACACACACACACACAGACATACACACACCCCTGAAGTATTCCCTATAGCAATTCCTTCTTCATGAATTCATATGCGTTCTTTAATTCCCGTGTTGAAGTTTCATGTCTCCTATTGTACTTTTTCTAGGTTCCTCAATCAGGTGGAATCCATCATCCCCTTTCTAATCTCTCAGTGGCCTTGATAGCTTCCTGTCATGTGCTCATCCTGTGGATTGACACATGTTGAGTCCATTGACTTCATAGCTGTGGTATTTTGACAAGGTCTACTATTCATTCCACTGCTGACTCTTATCATGTACCTACTGCCAGGGTCATCACAAAAGTTCGTGAGTTGATGGATGTCCCTGTTGGAGCCCGACTTGCTTGTATTTCTTTCCATAAGAAATCTTAGCTCTTCCCAAGGAAGCTGATGTTCACTGGGATCCAAGAGCCTGTTTGCCCCCTCTTTCTCCCTCTTACCCTCCTTCTCTCCCTCCCTCCCTCAACTTCACCTCTATGCAGAATCATATAGACAACCATCTAGTGGATTTTCCGATTTGGATACCTGGCAGATATTACTGAATATCACCTTTTGAGAAAGAACTATTGTGAGGCTTACTGCAATACTAGGCTTCTTTGTCATCCACACTGTGGATGCACATCATAATAAGTATGTTCCCACTCCTGGCTGGACACCATGTGTAGATATGCCTCCATGATTCAAAATCACTACTGGATAATTTTATAGCCATCATATGTGGACTGGACAGTATTACACTGGGATATTTCTCAGCATTATCCTAATAATTGCTTACAAATCCCCTCAGAAGCCCCAGATACCCATGCCACTAAAAAGAAACCCAAGCTTTAAAACTGAAAGACGGCATGCTTCAAGGATGCAGGGAACCCTGGATGGCAGGTGCATTGAAGAGGGTGTGAAGTGTGCCTCAGGAGTTCAGGGAGAGAAGACGGCCTCCCGTGTCTGTTGAGGAAGATTCCATGTTCCTCCTTGCTTTTCTTTTTCCCTCCACGGCATAGAGACACCCTCTCATTTCTACTGTTTTTAAAGAAACGGTTCATGTTAGCCTGGCTTCTGTCCTGTCCTGTCCTGTCCTGGGGGATGGTACCTGAGAAAGAAGACTGTGTCCCCCCACAACACCGAAGAGGAAGGGAAGACATCATGCCTGGCAGTGGGATACAGGGGTCAGGCCAGAGGCGGGGATGGAGCAAGCGCTGGCCTCCTGCTGGGGTTTCAAAGTCCATGTCATCATTTTGTTCTGACCAGTCCTCAGAGGCAGAGGTTCAGGGGAGATGGGCAATGGAGCAGCTGGGACTGCAGACAGGATTCCAGGCTCCCCTCGACACAGTTCATGGCCTTGGGGAGGTTTCCTTATATTCTGGGGTCAGCGGTCTGTGCCCTGTTTCTGGGCAGTCGGCTAGAATTTCCTGACCTAGTGTTTAGCCACTCGGTGGTGCTTGAACTGCTCCATCCCATTAAGCACAGGAAACGGTTTATTTTGAGTGAAGATTAAATTCCGACAGTGAGGCTTTGCTTCTGAAGGGATATTTATACTCGGGATAATGGAATTACTGGCTTTATTTTTCCAAAGCCGTTAAGGAGCGATGCTTGTATTCTTTGTTACCCTAGATTATCTTTGATGCGATCTGAGGGGAAATACTTACGTCAGTCATCTGTCGTTTGCTTGGACAGTGTTCTATTGGTGTGTAAATGCTGTGGCTTCACAGGGTTTAGAGGAATACTGCTGCTCTGCAGCTCTTAAGCATGAAGGATATAGGGCTTGGAGAGATAGCGTAAAAGCACCCATGAATCTCACAGAGGACCCCAGTTCTGTCCTATGGCTTTCAGCTGCTTGTAACCCCATCTTCCCCCTCTTCTGGCCTCAGCCACCACTGCCTTTATGTGTCCTCTCTCCCTCTGTTCCTCTCCCCCTCTCTCTCATCTCTCCCCTTTCTCTCTCTCATCCCCCCATCTCTCTCTCTCTCACACACACACTTAAGAATGAAAACTGACAATCTTACAGTAAAATCCAGGCTATGGATAAGGAGCTGGATTTTAAGGGGAAGGTTCTCCTGGGGTGGTGGCAGAGAGGAGAGAGTATGCCGAGTGGGAGAACATTTCAGAGTCTGTAATGAGATGGCAGATGAGTGGTTGCTTGGATAACTCTGTACCAATCTCCAGTCCTGAACAGTCACTAAGAACATGTCAAATGTGAAAATGTAGCTAGCAGGATGGGGGAAGGTGAGGGGACCATGTATCCTGTTAAACAGGAAGATTTTTCACCTTTCCTGGCTTGAGGATACTATGCATCTTCTCTTAATTCTTCTCTTTTTCCTCCTTCCCTTTCCTCTCCTTCTCCTCCTTTCTCTTGCCCTTTGCTTCTTTCCTCCCCTCCCCCTCTTCTCCTCTCCTTCCCTTTTTCTCCTCTTCCTCTTTCCCTATTTATTTATTTATTTATTTATTTATTTGTTTGTTTATTTATTTATTTTTGTGGTTCCACGTGTGGAACCCAGGGGCTGCATCCTCTACCCCAGCCATATCCCAGCTCTTGTGTATATGTTAAGACTACTGTCAGAATCACCTTTTTTTTTTTTTCCAATTAGGAATAGTTTTGTATCATCATTAAAATTAGTTCTCCGAGAATTCAGGCTAGTGCTATAACAGTAGCATACCTGGCTCCATGCACCTTTTGTGTGTGTGCGCGCGCGCGCGCGTGTGTGTGTGTGTGCGTGTGTGCGTGTGCGTGTGTGTGCGCGTGTGTGTGTGCGCGTGTGTGTGTGCGTGCGTGTGTGTGTGTGTGTCTGTGTGTGCGTGTGTGTGTGTGTGTCTGTGTGTGTGTGCATGTGTGTGCGCGTGTGCGTGTGCGTGTGTGTGTGTGTGCGTGCGCGTGTGCGCGCGCGTGTGTGTGCGTGCGTGTATGTGTATGTGTGTGTGCGTGCGTGCGTGTGTGTGCGTGCGTGCGTGTGTGTGTGCGTGCGTGTCTGTGTGTGTGCATGTGCGTGTGCGTGTGCGTGTGTGTGAGTGTGTGTGTGTGTGTGTGTGTGTGTGTCTGTGTGTGCTTATTTCCTTTTCTTCCAGTTTTTTAAGAGATCTTCTCATTTCCTCTTTAAGGGCCTCTATCATCTTCATTAAGTTGTTTTTAAGGTCATTTTCTTCTGCTTCAGCTGTGTTGGGATATGGCCGGTGTAGAACCGCTAGACTCTGGTGGTGCCATATTATCTTTATGTTGTTGAATGTGTTTTTATACTGTCATCTTCCCATCTCTTCTTCAGTGGGTGCATGTGGGGCCTCTCCCGGTGGGTGTGGGGCCAAGTTTCTGATGGAGGCAGCAGATGGTTTGGTCTGCTGCCAGGTCTCTGGGGATTCGGTGGGCTAGATTGGGGCTTCAGGGGCTTCCGACAAATGGGGATGGCAGGTGAAGGCCCAGAACTCACCTCTCACAGTAAGCGCGGTGCTAAAGCTCCGATGGCGGCCATGCTGGATGGTTTGGTCTGTGTGATTGCTTCCTGAAGGACAAGGGTTCTGTTTGGAAAGTCCTTGCCTGTGCCTATTTCATAATGCATTTTTCCTGAATTTTCCACTAACAGTTTTAGCCTTTTAAGTCTTACATAAGTTTTGGTCCATGTAGGGTTGGTTTGTGTTCACCGTGAGAGATGAAGACCCAGTTTCACCCTTTCCCTGTGGAAATATCTCTCCAAACCTTTCTCTTGAAGAGGCTGCCATTTCTCCAAAGAGTATTATGGTATCTTTGTCAAAAATCATATAGCTGTAATTATTTTGGCTTATTTCCCATTTCACTGTTCTAGTTTGTCAACCTGCATATAAGTTTTTGTACCAATACAAGTTCTGATAATACAAATCTTTAGTATAACTTAAAGTCAGATATGGGGAGATACTTCCAGCATTACCCTCTTTCTGGTTTCTGGTGTATGTTGCAGGATCCTGGCGGGTGTCCCTTGGGGGTGGGGAAAAGTAGGCATGCCACCAACGACACAGGCATCCGGAACAAGTTGAAACAACAAGCTCAGTTTATTTCAGGAAGGGGTGAACCTTATATACCCCTCAACAGTGCCCCTGGGGGTGGGGGGAATCTATGAGTTGTCATCTGCTGAGGTGACATGGTCACTGTCCATAGGTCATCTCTTGTCTGTCATTGTCCAGGCCCTCTGGCAGACCCAGGCTGGCTGTCAAGACGTATCTACTGCACAGTTCTTACTATCGGTCTGGGCTGGCTGTCAGGAGAGATCAACTGCGCATA